TTTAACATCTTCATCAATGACACAGACAGTGGCATCCAGTGCACCCTCAGCAAGTTTGCTGATGAGGCTAGGCTGGGTGGTGCAGTTGATGTGCCAGAGGAACAGGAGGCCATCCAGAGAGACCTGGACAGGCCAGAGGAAGGGCTCAGGTAAACCTCATGAGGTTCAACAAGGCCAAGTGCAGGGTCCTGCACCTGGGCAGGGGCAAACAACGTTACCAATACAGGCTGGGGGAGGACACGTTAGAAAGCAGTCCACTGGAGAAAGACATGGGGGTACTAGTCAATGAGAAGCTGGACATGAGCCACCAATGCACAGCAGCAGCCCAGAAGGCAAATCCAATCCTGGGCTGCATCAAAAGAAGCGTGGCCAGCTGAGGGAGTTGGGGTTGTTCAGCCTGGAGAAGAGGCGGCTCCAGGGGTACCTTATAACAAACTTCCAGTACCTGAGAGGGGCCTACAAGAAAGCCGGGGAGGGACTATTCATAGAGGGCTGGAGCAGCTCTCCCATGAGGAGAGGCTGAGGGAGTTGGGGTTGTTCAGCCTGGAGAAGAGGAGGCTCTGGTGGGACCTTATAGCAACCTTCCAGTACCTGAGAGGGGCCTACAAGAAAGCAGGGGAGGGACTATTCAAAAGGCTTTGTAGTGACAAGACAAGGGGTAATGGCTTTAAGCTAGAAAGGGGTAGATTTATGTTAGACATTAGGAAAAAGATCTTCAGTATGAGGGTGACAGATCCCTGGAATAGGTTGCCCAGATAGGTGGTGGAGGCCTCATCCCTGGAGACATTCAAGATCAGGCTGGATGAAGCTCTGAGTAGCTTGAGCTAGTTAAAGATGTCCTTGCTTATGGCGGGGGAGGTTGGACTAGATGACCTTTGGAGGTCCCTTCCAGCCCAGACATTCTATGATTCTATCACTTTGTAGTGACTGTCCCTGTCATTTGTATTTTACAGATTTCTTACCAATTCCTGTCTTTTCTCCTCATCTGTGGCTTCATCTGTTAGTTGTGCAAACAAGTCCGTCAGAAATTTTTCATCTTCCTACAAAGACAAAACAATACCATTTGTTTATTTACAATATCAAAAGGCATCCAAGTATAATATAAAGTTCTTCTAATCCATGCCTCCTACAATTAAGAGAACATATGCTTGTGTGCTGTAGTTTATCATACCAGTATTAACATTTTCACTCTGTTTTCAAACAAATTCATACGAATTTTGTTTTCGAGCTTTTCTCATGTTCAACAGCTCTCCACCCCACAACATTTCACTCTGTCACAGGGTAGCTTATGTTGCCTTTTGGCTATCCTTTTTCTACTTCTTACTGCCAGTCTCATAATTTTGTTTATGACTTCTTCTCTAACACCCCACTTGCCACATACCACACTACCCTTGCTTCAACTGTTTGCATACGTTTAAACACAATCTCCCACTCATACACACACATATACGTTTGGAATGTCATGAGGTATTTGCAGAACTAAAGCAAGCACATGACTAAGAAGAGCTTCCCAATAGCCAGAATGAGGTGAGATTCCTTCCCTCAACATTGTGAAAAGGTTAACTCTAGAAACCAAATCAAAATAACTGCTCCTATTACATGCAGCATTTTGGGGGCATTCTAGCCGGTAGCAATCAAAAGCCATTCTGTTATTTTTCAGGCTGCTGTACCTTGGCAAAAAGGACAAACAGCAGCCAACACATTACAACTGTGTATGTACACTGAAAGGTGCAACAATACTTAGTTTCCCATAACCTTTACAGTGCTAACAACTAAAAGATTATGAAAACAGAAATAAATCTTCCTCCATCCTTTCCCTCCCCAGTATTATACAATAATAAGACAGCACTTGCTTGAAAAAAGATACTGGTACATAAGATACAAATAGATTTTTTTCAAAAAGCTACCAAAGAATTGTTTCTTATGTAGTCAGTAACACCACATGCAGTATCTCCCCGTCTCAAAAACAGTGCCAGAAACCCAGGTTTCCTTGCTTATCGACACGGTATAAAGCAGAACCATCAAAGTACTTCAGATACACCCACATACACTTGCAGAGTATCTAGATACCTCGTCCAGACTCACCCTGCGGCCTTGCTGACAAGACAAGTACCTCAGTTTCTATAGTACACCATGCTAATGCACCTGTAACAGTCACAACCCAACTGAGGATTTCTACATAGCACTGCACAACACAGATAAATCCAAAATAGGCTGCATGAACTACTACCCTACAAGGCATTTCACCACACTATAAGGTAAACCCTACATTAAGGATATGCAATGTTTCCTCTTGTTTGATGCTGTGCTGCTAAACTGACCCAACAGTCTAGTAATAACGAAGAATCATTTCTGGACACTATTTCAGGTGCTCTTTCTGTGACTGCTTGAAAATCAAGCCAAAAAGAGATAGAAGAGGCCTTATTTGAAGTTTAGTGAAATTCACTGTGGAGGATCAAGCACTGGAAATGTAAAGTTCAACTTTCAAATTTCAAGAGCCAAACAAATTCAAAACAACTATTAAGGTCTTTGATTTTAAGAAACATAACTGAGGCTGTGATGAAAGAGTACAAGCATGTTTCACTACCTGCTATCCAGCTGTTTTATGGCTTGGTAATTTTTCTAACAGTTAACTCATTAGACATCTACAGATAACTAACCCACAGTAGAGATACTGACATACTTGTTTACTGAGACAAACACAAAAAACCAACACAAACCCAAAAAAATAAAAAATAAAACCAACCTGGTTCTTCGAAGAACACTCCAGTTACTCTCCATGATCAGCAGTACATTTAAGAAAAGGCTAACCAGTTTGCTTTCATTTCTCTTTTTGCTATTTTGATCAAGAGGTAAAACTAATCCCACCTACCAAAACTATTAAGAAGATGCATGCTTATCCCCAACTGTAAAGTGCAACCTCTACTTCCACTCTCATCGTGAAATGAACTTTTCATCTCCTTTGTAATACCTGACAGTAAGCCCAAGTCAATACCACAGAAGTATCTCAGAATCACTGGGGAAAAATAATGGAGATTACAACGTTTAAGTATGTCAGAGCCATTATTAGTGTGCTTCTGCATAAAAAAGGTACTAATATTACCCAATGTATCACATTAATGTTTTTTAAAGTCCAAATGTGGAAGGAGAGGTGTGGTGGAGACCCCGCGCTGCCGGTGAGCTGCGGGTCTCCCCCAGGCCTCACTGTGGTGCCCCGGAGCTGGCGGGGGCACTGCAGGGCAGTGCAGGGTGGGCAGGACCCCCCCGGGGCAGCACCCCCCTGCCCCCCGCTGCAGCTGCGG